TAAGAGATCAGACAATGGCCCATCTCAGTCCGAGCTGGTTGATTTATTTGTTTGGCTTTGTATGTTTTGAATGCTTTTATTCCTTGTGTGTTTGTTTCGTTTTATACATGTGATTTAGTTTGATGATGCTGATTGTTTGTCATGTTTTGTTGACTGGCTAGGAATAAATCAAATATGTACACTAAGAAACCGTGACCTTTTCCCCCATCCCTTAAAATATGATTCAATATTTGCCACCCATTCCAATCCAGTAGTTGTAGCATTGCAAACCGAAATCATATTTTGGCGAGGCTGCGGATTCGGTACGGCGCAGGTTCAAACAACTTCAACTTCCAGAGTTCAACTCAGCTCTGTGAAGAAACTCTGTGCGCGTGCTTTTAAATTGATTGGACTTGACAGGCATGAGAAGTGTATCCTCTTTCATTAAACGAGGACGTAACCCCGGAATAAAAGCCTTTCGGGAAATGTGGAATTCTCAAACAGAGGGAACTTTCCGTTCTATTTTTATCCGCCATATACTGAGCGATTTAAGAATCTAACCCCAGGGCGCAGATTCGATTAGCCCAACAAGCTGAGCGATATGTGCCCTCCAAACATTAACAGCTGAGTTTCCTTTGCGGAAGGTAGCTGAGCTAACTATGTCGACGGCTCGGTTTCTGCTAAGAGACAGCCTATCCCCTCAGTGTTCGTTTACCGTGTGCGCTTGCTTTGTCAAATGCCTACGTCGGCAAGTCCAGGTAAATCATAAATGCACTTTGTTTTTTTTCGTAATACATTTGACCTTTGAAGCGTATAGCGAGAAGCAATTTGATGGAATGCATTTTCATTTGAAGGTTATGTTGATGGTTAATTAACTGAGTCTCGCTGATTCATTCAATTCCTAATCTGGATGATTTTTGATTTTTAACTCATTCAATTGCAGCCATTTTCACTGCGGCAACCCCCTCAATCCCAGCATTTTACTGCATTTTGACTGATCTTGCAAGGCCCACAGAATATTTGGTTCTACTGCTATATAAACATGGAGCCTACCAAAATAAAGTTTGCACTCTCTTCTTTCAGCAGAAAAATAATTTTGTTTCTATCTTTTTCCATTCTTCAGCAATCGGAATTACAAAATGGCTAAATTTCATAGAAATGGCGATTCCTGGCCAAAAAAACAGAGAAAAAGAGCTTTTTGTAAAAGCATGCATTTCAATCACGTGAGGCACCACTGCCACCTACTGGTCACTTTTTTTACATGATTTACAATGCAAACGGCTTATTCTCATTCACAGATTGCAACAGACCCTCCTCCTCTCTATAACACAAAAAAAAAAAAAAGACTTAGACGTACAAGTACGTCCTTGGTAGGCAGGGCCTAATTTAAAAAAGACGTACAAGTACGTCTTGTGGAATGAAAGCGTTAAAGGCTCACTTTCACTTACAGTTTGTGAATAGATGTGAATTTGTGTCCTAACAGGTGTCGTTGCTGTAATTTGTGTTCGACGCAACTGCGATCAACCTTCAAATTGTTGGAAAAGCAAACGTGTGTTCCAGTGGAACCGTCATAACCAACGAGTGCACTTTGCAAATGGAAAAACAAGATTATCCCATCATGTAGTTACTTATAACATGGCTGTTCTCCTTCCCGTTGCATTTATAATGCAGGAAGGAGAACCCGGACGTTCCGAGTCATCTTAATGAAGCCGTGCCGTCGGACTCATTTTATCAGTTCTTTTGCCTTCTCAGATCGCCAGGCTGAAAGACGTGTCAGTTTTTTTTTCTGTGGTGTCACGCTTCCCTTTAATTGCCTCACACTGAAAGTGTGTTAAGGGAAGAAATGAGAGAGATCAGACCTCCTTTGCTCTGAATGTGGAGCAGCTTGATCTGTTGACTGTTTGCAGAAATCACCCCCCGGTGCTGTTTTGGAAGAGTAGAAATCAAACCCGGCTGGTTTTCGTTCCAACTATTTGATCCAGCCAACCAGTTATCCGTCCTTCCGTCCGTCCTTCTCCTCTGGCAATACCAGCGTCACGTGTGAGCTGGAGCTTGATGCGGCTCATTAAACTATGCAGGGGTACCTAATGAAGTGTCTGGTTAAACTTGCAGAAGGACCAGAATAAAGGCAGACCTGTTGGACATGCCCGCTGGTTATGGTGATGGATCTCAGACCAGAACAACTCTCTGCAGCGGAGATGAATCCTCGTTTATCACTTGTTTGCCTCTTGAGTAATTTTCTTCTATTCTATGGTCTCCTTCCCGAGGGGGCGGGAAAAAAAAAAGCCATTAGGCGTGTCTTTATAACAGCACTAAATCAATATCTGTCTCCTGGAGCAGCGAGCTCCCACTTCGTTCGCCATGGTGAGCTTTTGGGCTTGTGTGTTTGAGAAGAAGCGAGCTCACTCTTTATTAAAGAGTCGTCCGTTAAAGGACGAGGTGGGTCAGACATGGCGGCAGCTCGCCGAATTCAAATTCCGCTCCACGCTCTGCTTGCTTGGCTCTTCTATCCTCCATCTCTTTCCATTTGCGATGGGGTGCCGCTGATTTTGCTCAAGGATAAGAATCAGGAAAAGGTCAGGGATCATCTTTTTTTTTTTTCTTCTTTTATGAATTCCTGTCCACCGAAAAGCTTCTCCTGGTCCTCTCCTTTGCCCCCACCCCACCCCCCCCCACACCCCTCTTGCCTTGTTTTATTGTTTTCTGTCAGGCCGTCTTTGGCTGAACATCAGTTGGATTCATTTGGACAGCAAGTCATTACTCTAAGACTCCGACTGTGTGGAGCTCATCAGAAATGCTCAACCCCCCTCCTCTGCCCCCCTCCCCAAGCCTGCCTGTCTTTCTTTCCAGACGTTGCTCCTTATAATCAGTCACTTTGATTGCTTGGTCATTCCTGTCTTTTGGCTTGTGTCATGACAATCAGCAGCCGACGCACTCTCGTCATATCAAGTTAAGATAAGATAAGAAAACCTTTATTCGTCTCACAATGGAGAAATTCCCAATTCACAGCAGCAAAGTTATGAAAGGAAGAAGTAGAAGAACAAAATATAGGAGGTGCTGCAAAGGCAGCCACTCTCGCGTTAAATGGAACGATTAGTTGTAAGTGGCAACTGCATTAATATGTAATGGATACTGCATTAATTCAATATTAATTCAGTGTTATTTGTGTTCAATATAATGTTTCTTGTTCGAGCATTTGACATCCCCAGCCACTGATACTTGTAAACTTGTAAAATGGAGGATCAAATCCCAGTTATGTGATGATATATCGTAACGTTAGTGATGAAATGGAGTATTTGGAGTAAAAAGCAAAAAATATGTGATTTGATGGAATTTTTACTGGTCAAGCGCCAGTGAGATGCCATACTGGCCCAGGGCAAGCAGGCCATCGTTAATTTGGGACCTATGAGCTATTTAGAAACAACCCTTTTGGCACTGCAGTGACCTGCGTGTTTTTTTTTTTTTTTTGCGGTGTCAAGGCTTGGCTGCGTCAGCCATTCTCACCACTTGCTAGTTGCTCTCCCCGGGCACCAGCGGCTTCTCATCCAAACCCATCTCACTGCTGTCACTTCTTGGGCGGACAGCACTAAGATAAATCTGCACATACTAAATGAGCGAGCTTCTAATTTGGTGAGTTCAATCCTGTGTCAGGTTCACCTCATGATCATTTGGATTTCAGTTGAGGTTTTTCTTCTTCCTACAAATGGCATTCTTTCTCATTCGGAGCTTTTTTGACAGTCATTGTCCCTAAGATCATATATGATCCATTTTCCGATCCGCTTATCCTCACAAGGGTCTTGGGAGTTGCTGGAGCCTATCCCAGCTGTCTTTGGGGACACCCTGAACTGGTTACCAGCCAATCGCAGGGCACACAGAGACGAACAACCATCCACGCTCACACTCACCCCTTGGGACAATTTAGAATGTTCAATCAGCCTGCCATGCATGTTTTTGGAGTGTGGGAGGAAACCGAAGTACCCGGAGAAAACCCACGCAGGCACGGGGAGAACATGCAAACTCCACACAGGGAGGCCAGAGCTGGAATCGAACCTGGTACCTCTGCACTGTGAGGTCCACGCGCTAACCACTGGACCACCGGGCCTCCCAAATCATATATGAGGGCCCTTAAAATGAATCATCAGTGGCAGATTTTGCAAAAATTAATGTCCAGTATTCATGACCATTATTTTAAAATCAAAATTGCACGTTCGTTCATAAGTAATGACCAAGACCTCAAATATGAATGAATGCCGAAGTAAAGATGGACACACACACACACACACACACACACACACACACACACACACACACACACACACACACACACACACACACACAACATTTAAGATTACTTTTATTTTACGAATAACAACACGACAAGACATCCTGGTGCATGTTGGAAAATGAAGAATGAAAGCTATGCTTTGAAAAGTAGCTCATTATACCTTCTCCCTGTCTGGTCCAATTATCGACAATCCAGTTTACCAAGAGAATGCATTACTGAGTTTTTTTTTCCCCATTATTTATTCCGAAGCATGGCCAACCTGCAAGAAAAGAGCCTTTTGTGGTGTTTTGATCTCTCATTGAATGATAACACCTGTGAAGCGCGAGGAAACACGCCTTGATGAACCACTATAAAAAAAAAAATATGAGAGATATACAGTACAACTTATAGGCGGAACCTTTGATTTAGTTGTGGGCAGCTCAAGGCCAGCGAAGGCGTATCATGAACAACACGCTTCATAATAAATACGCCGTAATCTGGATCAAACCCACCCGCTGCCAGCTAGAACAGATTGACATGTAAAGGAGGAGGGTGCTGACTTGTCCTTTTGATTTGTTGCCAACTGGGCACTTTCTATTCCAAAACGCTCGGTTGTTGTTGTTGTTGTTGCATTGTACTTTGACTTTCAGCCTCATCATGAAGGCCATTCTTGGTGTGTCCTTTTGGTGCTTTAGAAATTGTTTCTGTATCCATGGTGCTAAAAAAGTAATTGTCTTATCGTATCCCTCGCCCGCAGGCAAGCAGACTTGCCCGCCAGAGAAATTCGACTGTGGGGAATCCAATAAGTGTGTCTCATTGTCGTGGAGATGCGACGGCGAGAGGGACTGCGAGAACGGGGCGGATGAGGAGGACTGCGCAGCTGGTGAGTTTGTCACTGTTTGACCATGGATGTCATTCAATCATTTTCTTATCATGGACAAAACATATGTATCCTGTTTTTTTTAGGGGGGTGGGGGTTGTTGTTTTTTTTTTTTAATGCAAGTATATAAACTCTTGCTGCTCTCATTTTGGCATTGTCAGATTTGCAGAAGTTTGTAAGCCTCTTCATCCAGAGTCGGGCTGAACAATTAATCGAATTGAAATTGACAATGCAATGTAGCAGAATGCAATTCTCAAATCGCATCGGCTTGGAAAAAATGAATTGACTATTAAGTCACAATAACAATTATCATTTTTCAAAATCGTTCAGTCCTAACCCAGAGGCTGAAAAACACCCTCTAATTCCAAGGTTTTGATGTCAATTCGATAGTTTGATTCGTCAAGCAAGTGATGCAGGAGTCATTTGTGGCGTTTGCCTGTGTGCTGTGGGCTTTCTGTTTGACAAAGTTCGTGGACAAACTGAATGGCGATTGGATCCCACAAATGTAGACATAAACAAAATCCATCACAAAAACTATTTATTTATTAACAAAAGCGCACCAATAAAGTATAGACAGAAATCGCCGGTCACAAGGAGCCAGGAAAAACTATGCATGAACAAAAAACGCTTTACTATTCTAAATCCGAGAATATAAATGAAATGACAAGAGTCTAATTCCACAAAATAAAACAAGAGCAAGATCAAATGGCAAAATAATAGCAATACGTACAAGCGGAGACTAGAGAGCAAAAAAACGACAATGACGAGATCGAGAATTCTAGAAAACAACACTTGAGCATGAGCAGCAAACAAGGTCAATAATCCGACGGAGACTTGGCAGTCAGGTAGTCCTTCAATACATGGCGACGTTGATGAAAACATCGGCAGCAAGTGTGCACGCTGGAGGGAAGGCCCTCTTCTGCCACCTGCTGGAGACACACAAGAACAGGATCATGACACAGTTCAGTTTGAGGGCTCACTTCTAACCAGAATTCTTATGGGCGGGCCATGGCGTCACCAACTAACCAGCCAATAGAACGATTCCGTCATTAGCCTGCTCCACCCCATCACTTCCCTGCAGGGACCTTCCTTGGCCTACTTCTAAGGCACCGTGAAGAATCATCCTCTCCCTCATGCCTCTTCATGTCATGAGAACAAGATTGAGGCTGTTGGGGGTGCGATGTTTAGACAGTGACGATCCTGTAAAATGGCATCCGGCAAGAAAATACACATTTTGAGAAAAACACAAGGAAAAACTAAACATTTTATCCGACATGATGCAGTTAATTGCTTTTATAAGTGGAATGTTTGTGCTTGTGTGGGTGTTCACACTGTGGCTGCTTTGAGCAATTTGTCTGGAGTTCAATCCATCATTTTTTAAAGGGAAGCGTGTCAAACCCACCTAAAAAAACCAAAAAACACAAATTAAAGCGTCTTCCTGAATTCACAGCTATTATTAACCTAATAGATTCAAAGCCTGAATGTTGTACCACACACACACACACACACACACACACACACACACACACACACACACACACACACACACACACACCTAGGGAAGTAACCATCAATTAACTTTGGCGCTAATTCCTTCCTTGCTTGATGGCTTTTGCTGCATTTTCCATTGAGAATGATTCTGTGCAAATCATTTTTTTCCCCCCTCTTCTGACATCACTCCACGTTACAGCTTCGGCTTCACTTCGCAATGCTGTCACTCACCCAGACGCAAAGCTACCTGACTTGCAGCAAAGATTTGAATTATTCCAAATAGCCTGTTCATAGGGAGTTGTCAAAAATGTTCTCACGGGCTGTATTATTATTGCCGCGTGTCAGATGATTCACATTTCCAGTCATGAAGTGAGGTGAGGAAGGAGTCCTGAAATAACCAACCGGCCTGCGTCATTTGGCTTCTTTCCACTCTGGAGGATTCACTTCTAAGCAGTTTGTCTTTGAGTTTCGATGAGTTGCTAAATGTCGCATGCGACCACTTGTTCCACTAGCTTGTTTTTAATCCACAGACTGTTGTTACGGTGTTTATCCCGTGAGCTGACTTTGGGTGGGGGTTGGCAGTGACTTGCAGGGCACATACTAAGAAATCAACTATTCAGTATAAATGGGAGTTGCTTGACTAAACTTACTATGAGGGATCATTTTCTTTGATCAAATATTCCCATAAGAATGTCATAAGGATTTATTTCATCAGGATTACCAAGACTGCATTTTATACACACAGTGGGCTCTCACAAATGATTTTGAATCCACGTGTGCTCCATCACATCATTCTGCTGTTAGCCCCCCCCACCCCACCCAAAAAAACAGCCTGTAGCCAATGCACCCGAGTTTAATTTCATGAATTTCCATGACAACTCACTCAAGTTAAGTTTCTTCTTAACGCCTTTCTCATGTTTGCTTGGCCTTAATCCTTATCGCTGGGAGCAATGCATTGCACTCTCCCCCCCCCCCCCCAAAAATTTTTTTTTTTTTGGTTGGTTCCCCCCAAGTAGTTTTTTTTGCTTGTGTTGAGTCCAAGTCTTTGTGCGTACTGATTACGCAGCCAACCTGAGCCAGCCCCGCCACTCTTGGCAGTTTAAAAGAACTTTCCTAAAACCGTTGCCAAATAAATTGCATGAAGGCATTCCGCCAATTGAGACATCCACGTGCTGAATTATGCATCGGCTAAAATCAAACTATTTTCTGTAGGAAGATTTCCCTGATCAACATTTCTTCAGCTAGCATTTTTTAACCCTTTCAGGGACAGCGGTTACTACAGTGGACAGTTTACCATGTTATAAGGTTCGAGGGTGCATGAAAGGCTTAAAGTTATTAAAGAAGCAAATCTGGTCAAAATCCACGGTTAGTTTCGAGCAATGTGCTCACGATGCCTTGAGATCAGATTCCTGAAAGCTCAGGTTATCGTAGGTTAGGTAACCACCAACGAGCAAACAAAGTAAGTAAATAATTCACTGTGTGATGTCTTGCAATTTTACGCCACGACAATTACAGCCAAAGTCGAACATGCCTGACAGTCTCCATTAATCCCACAAGAGACTTGATCAAATAAAGCATTTTGTGGCTGCACAACACTTTGAAAAAGGATATAGCGGGCCTACTTGTCACTTTGAATTGCATCATGCCGTGTTCGACAGATTTTCATGACACAGGTGTATGTATGAGGCCTCACAGTAAAATTCATCTACTTTTGTTATTCCCCAGGAGACATGCAGTGACACAGCTGAATCCACAGAAAATATGGTTTCTTCTCTGTGCACGTCACAAAAGTGTGCTAGTGGTCCACAATGTGGAACGATAGATGTCAAAAATGAATGATGATAAGCAATGTGATTTAGTGAGCGGTAATGCATCAAGATGTACAAATAAAATGTGTTCTTGACGCACTGGTATAACCCAAAGGGAAGATTGATCTTGTTTATTCTAGATGCTGCTCTCGAGTGACCCGACTTGTCATTGATTCAAGGCTGTGGCTTGAATGAATCTTAGCTTTCAGTCCAAATGTTTCCTTGGTCCAGGGTGTTGTGGATGTGCAGATTAAAAAAAAATTAAATGCTTATTTTGTGAGCACACAAAGGGTTTTCTTTCTGTCTGTTAGAGTGTGAGCACATACTGTCAAAGTTCTGTTCTTTTCTGTTCTTCTGACTGCATGTCCAATTTCTGTCAAAGGGAAGATTGATCTTGTTTATTCTAGATGCTGAGTGTGTGCTCTCGAGTGACCCGACTTGTCATTGATTCAAGGCTGTGGCTTGAATGAATCTTAGCTTTCAGTCCAAATGTTTCCTTGGTCCAGGGTGTTGTGGATGTGCAGATTAAAAAAAAATTAAATGCTTATTTTGTGAGCACACAAAGGGTTTTCTTTCTGTCTGTTAGAGTGTGAGCACATACTGTCAAAGTTCTGTTCTTTTCTGTTCTTCTGACTGCATGTCCAATTTCTGTGCTGTATATCAGCGGTCCCCAACACCCGGTACCGGTTCGCTGGTCATTTGGTGGCGAGCCGCACAGAAAGACTAAATAACTTACGTTACTTCCGTTTTATTCATTTCGGAATTTGAAATAGGTTTTATTTTGAAAAATTCCCGGTTTCTATGTTATATCCGTCTACACTATGTCACTCTTGACCGCTAAAATGAAACCCAGGAGCTAGCAAAATGAGTAAAAAAAGCAAACGTCTTTGCAAAGTTCCTAAATGAAACCCAAGAGCTAGCAAAATGAGTAAAAAAGCAAACGTCTTTGCAAAGTTCCGTTGGGAAGGGGAAAAGGCCAGCCAGGAAACACAAGAGGAGCCTACGACTTCCATGAAAAAGAAGGCCACACCTAATAAGACAGTATCAGGAGTCCTACTTAAGATACAGATTTATCTTAACGGGAGATTCTCACGCACCAAGCCGACTCTGCATAATACGCGGCGATGGTGAGTCGTATTTTCCATGCACTTTTCCTACATCTTATTTTGAAGGCACGTTTAAACGTTACCATAGCGACCAGAGAGCGTTGCGGCCAGATTGGACGTTCCTCGTATCATGATTCGTGTTTATTATTATGTTACGAAAATACCACAATTTTGATGCAGGTCATATCTTATTATATTGTTGTATTTATTCGGCCTTAAAGGCTGGTCCCTGAAAATATTGTCCGACAGTGTTTATTATTATGTTACGAAAATACCACAATTTTTATGCAGGTCATATCTTATTATGTTGTTGTATTTATCCGGCCTTAAAGGCTGGTCCCTGAAAATATTGTCTGACAATAAACCAGTCCGTGGGGCAAAAAAGGTTGGTCGACGGCGTTCATCTCTCGAACCGCAGGGCCAACTGCACTGGCGAGGAGTTCCATTGCGCCAACGGGGAGTGTGTGCGACTAAGCTGGAAATGTGACGGCGATCCCGACTGCAAGGACAAGTCGGACGAGTCAGACTGCCGTGAGTTTCTGTTTTCGTCCTTTCGAAATCACTGACGGCCATGTTGTGTCAAGATGACCCCTGCCGCCTCGACCTGCTGCTATCCACTGCCCACTTATGTTAATTAGGCACAGAATATGCAGCTGTCGCTGACAACTTAAAGCAATTCTGAATAAGGCCCCGAATGGATAATTTGCATCTTGGCTTGTCCGAATCAGCATCATGTTCCCTGGTTCAGGTTCCTCCGTGTTGCTGCTGTTTCTGTTATTTCTGTCCCAAAGCCATCCATCAATCAAACAATCAATCCATCAAGATCTCAACCATGGTTGACTGCTGTGTTTGCAGATTTTTTTTCACGTCACTAGTCATCTTCAGAGGGTAAAAAAATGACAACACTATTTTGACAAAAGCGGCCGGTGATCCACTGGTTCGTGCGTCGACCTCACAGTGCATTGGTACCGGGTTCATTTCCGGCTCCGGCCTTCCTGTATGGGGTTTGCATGTTCTCCCCGGGCATGCGTGGGTTTTCTCCGGGTACTCGGGTTTCCTCCCACATTCCAGAAACATGCATGACAGGCTGATTGAACACTCTAAATTGTCCCTAGGTGTGGATGTGAGCGCGGTGTCCCCCACCTGGTGCCCGAAGACGGCTGGGATAGGCTCCAGCACGCCCCGCGACCCTTGTGAGGATAAAGCGGATCAGGAAATGGATGGATGGATGAATGATTTGACAAAGTAAAAGGGATCAAGGGTTAACCCTACCACTTTCAAATAAATAAAAAGATCAGTTCAATGCTCCAAAAGTAAAGTAAGTCCCAAAAGTTCAAAAAGTAATGCCGTGTTTGTTTTCCATTTCTTTCCTCCCCTCTGACCTGATATCTTCCAATGAAAAATGAGGAATGAATATGAACTTTGAATCAAATTTAATGAGTGCCATCATCATGACATCATGCGCCATTTTGATTTCGATCTGTGAATATTGCGTTCATTATTATCACTCGTTTGCTTTTAACCCAATTTGGAGATCGCCAGGGCATATTGTAATCTTTTACATCCCTCGCTGCTCTCTGCCTCATCCGTTCGAACTGCAGCTACTGTATTTGCAAGTCAGATTTGCACTGCACAATGCTAATGTAGCCTTACATAATAGCGCCTGCGCTTGTATTTTGGTTGTCTTACTAAGCACGAACAACATGAAAGGCGCCGCTGGAAGATACAATTCACTTCAAATGGCGCAAACCTGACTGTGTTTTTGTAACCGGATAATTTTGTTTCATAATTTTAGGGGTGTACATACAGAATGAAATATTTTTAAAAATGAGAATGCTGGGTGGGCTGCATACATTGTCATTGTCTTGCACCATACATTTCAACTGCGCAGGGTGAAAATTTGTCCTGTATGGTTACTGCACGCACTGAATCTACAGTACAGTAATCCGCTAGATTAGGAACATTGAAGAAATTGAACGCCTCAACTTCATTCGTGTAAACTCCCTCCATGTCTTTTCTCTGAAACCCGTTTTACCTCATTCCCTAAGGTGTTATTTTGTCATTTAGCACTTTTTCTCCTCTACGGGCAACTAGCAGTGTTCGTCCGATAAAGGATGCATCTGTCTAAATAAATCCAGTGTGAAGATGGGGACGTTGCGATAAAGCTGATTTTCCTCCTATCTTAGCCAGGGCCGAGAGCAGCCCTGAAGCTCTTGTTGCACCGTGATGCAGTGTGAAGCTGAGGTAGTCACACAAGCCATTAGAAGGATTTTTGTCGCACACATCAAGTCCAGTAGTCTGGTGTCATGCCAGCGGCGTGTAGAAGAGGGCTGGAAGAATTGCTTTTCTTTCAAAGCTACTCATTACTTTTTTTGTTTAGCTACCACTCCAATCTTCCATCAGAAGGATGATGAGGCATTAAAATAAAAAAAATTCAGTTTGGACCACCTGCCCAGCTGAAGTAATTTGGCTTGCTTTGATACATAATGGCCAATGATTTGTACTATCAGCTGACTGTTGATTATGTGAGTCTGCCATATTCAACAATCAGATTAAAAATATTTTTATATTATGAATAATATTAAATAAAACCCCAATTATTTGGCTCGGGTATTTTTGTGCTGAAAGTCTGGTGTGAGGCACGGTCAAATCTGAGCAGAGGCGGGTTAGACCTAGCATTTGTATTTTCATTGATGGATGCAAGCAGGCAGATTTTTTTTTTTTTAATGCATTTTGTGTTGTTGCGTGAGACTCCAAAACCAACATTGGTTCCCAACAGGTGTAAAGCTTTGACAAATTTCAGTCACCAAAATGTCAGATGTGCCAGGAGCATGTCAAAGAACTCTCTACACCGGAACTCTCAGCACAGCGTAGAGAGATGAACCAAATTTCCAAGCAGGTGCACTGAGGCTGGCGCAAGCATGAAAATCAAGATGTGCCAGTTTTTACGCTTGAGCGCACCTGCGCCAACTACGAAAATAGAGCCCATTATCGGGGAAAATTATAAGCAGAATGCGTGCTTCAACATAGGGAGTCTGCCCTAAAATCACACTTGACGACTATCAGGGGATAAGGCTCGAAACAAAATCATAAAAACTACAACACTTACTTCCTAAGGTGTCATGTTTTGAAATCTCAGTTTGTGGTATTAAATAAGAAACTAGTCTTGCTTTGAATTCGACCCCTTGATGTCTTGTTGAAAGGCTTCAAATATGTGTGTGTGTGTGTGTGTGTGTGCGTGTGCGTGCGTGTGCGTGCGTGTGCGTGTGTGTGTTTGTTTTTTCTGCACACAGCCCTGCTGACTTGCCGTCCTGATGAGTTCCAGTGCGGTGACGGTTCTTGCATCCACGGCACCAAGCAGTGTAACAAGGTCAACGACTGCCCGGATCACAGCGATGAATCAGGCTGCGTCAACGGTGGCTGCTCTTTGATTTTCTCTCTCTCTGTGTCTCTTGTCTGTTGGCAGTCTTTTATGTGTAGGGTTCATTTTGAATGCACCTAGCTATTTATTGGCTCTTACTCCTCCTAAGTGCTTTGGATGTTGTTAAAGTCCCAGGAACTCAGATACCACCCAGATACTCACATAAAGTTTCACTTATGTTTTGCTTTTTGTCTTGCAGCCACAAAATGCGAGGGCCCCCTGAAGTTCTTGTGCAAGAACGGGGAGTGTATCGATAGTTCCAAAGTGTGTGACTCCGTCAAGGACTGCAAGGACAGATCAGATGAGCCCAAGAAAGAGTGTGGTAAGAGAAGGCTTTCTTTGCGCAGCTTTGTATTTTATATTTTCTGCTACATACACATGTAAAAATTACAGTATGTGATGATTGGCTCTGTCACTTTGTCCCGATGAGTGTTCAAATTTATAAGGAGCCCAGTTCATCGGATGGTGACGGCTTGTCATGACACTTTAACTCCGGAGGGCTCCAACTCCGGTCCTCAAGGGCACCTAGCCGGCATTTTTTGGATGATCGGGATTGTTGTCAGGCTCCTGCAGAGCTTGCTGATGAGCTGATCGTGTTTGAGGGAGGGAAACATTTCAAACATGCGGGGAAGACGGCCCTCGAGGACCGGTGTCGGAAAACTATGTAAGTCATTTAAGGAAAAGGTTTTCATCAGCAAGTCGAGCATAGTCGGCATTCGGTGCTCTTCTTTGCACAAGACGAATGAACTGTAAGTTTTGACAATCGAAATTGTGTTGAAAGAACCTTCATGTCAAAATCTTGCCACAGTTTAACTTTTGTGCTTCTCCTCAATCAGCAGGATTACATTTATAAGTTGGAATAGATTTGGAATTTTCATTCTAGTTAGTTTTTTTTTTTTTTTTTAAGTAGTTTTAAGACCGGATTTGGTAGTTTTTATTAGTTGTATTTTCTTTTTCAATCCTTTGCTTTAGTTTTTATTCATTTGAGTAGTAGTTGGCGTTTTTGTCAAATATGTATCGCTTGTGCGCAAGATTAAAAAAAAAGAAGACATCACAGTAACGATTGTGATAGCAAAACGCAACAAAAATATTTTAGAATCAACCATCCGCAAATCAAATATTGGTGTTTCCAACTTTATCCACTTGCCAACTCATAAAGTGGATTTGTGGTTTGAATTCCTGTATTGAACCCAGTTGAAAGGAAGACACTTAATTGCAACCTAGCGTGGCGTTTTTGGCTGAGTTAAGTGGCAAATGCCGGTAAGCCATTCCAAACGCGCAAGACAGAACATTGACACATTTATTGGAAATGAATTTGTGCTTGTTATGCGGAATCGTCGTGTTTTGGTTTGCCTCAAGTAACCGCCTCCAGCTCCATCCCTCTTGAGTCTGCTTGTTCGAATTACTTTGAAAGAGAAGGCAAAAGTCTTGTCTCTTGCGCGATAACCCCGCTGTTCTACATCCTGTTTGCTGTCTATCTGACATCATCTCTTCATCAGTGGACTCGATCCGGAATATTCCGACCACTTTTCTTTCACCCAAAAGTTCAACCTAACATTCATCTAGGCTGTAAAATCGCATTGGGGAAGTGATGCTAAGCTGTACCAGGGAAGCTAATTACAAAGAATCATCTCTCTTCCTTTTCTTCCTCTGACCTTGTATTTCCCCTTCATCTCCGTTTTGTTCACAGCTTGTTAAAAAATGTCCACACACACACACGTACACACACAAACTTTGCTCATTGCATCGCTCTGTCCTCTCAACCATTCATTTCCAACCTGTTCTGCGCTCAAAACACTCCGACGCTACAATACCGCACCGAAAACACTTGCAGATGCCGGGCATTGCTCTCCGCATCCCAGCACGCAGTTTCCCAGCTCATTAGGAATAATGGCGTCGACGGCGCAGACTCATTACTTAGCACGCTGCACTCTCAAGTCATGCGTTCACTGGGAAGAACTCTTCATAATGGCCACTTCGTAATGGGTTGTCAGAGTGAAAAAGAGCTGGCGGTGGCGGCGCGAGAATGCAGATGACGTTGGCGCACGGCAATAGAAAAAGCGACCTGTAAATCTTGGCTGCGCTTGATGGAATTTCTTGGAAAAATATATTCCCCCGTTGCCCTCCGTGACTCTTTTAGTAACTCCGTCCAGGTCCAAGTGAGGGCAATTGCTAATCACTGGAATTGCTGTCATTGAGGTCTTTTTGTCGAGTCTTTTCTGCACTTCATTTTCAAGAGTAGTGAAGGAGAGCCGAGCGCTGTCGCTGAATAAGGGTTGGGAATTTAACCCTTTCATGCACCAATAATGAGACCCTGGAACCTGATAACATGATAAGTGGTCCACTGTAGTCATCGCTGTCCCTGAAAGGGTTCATGCTAACTGCAGATCTGCTTTATGTCTCCTGACAATTTATACAATTCCGAGTCGATCGTTTTTTGTTTTTTCCTCACAGAGTGCTTTCATTCTGTTTTTTTTTTTTTTTAATTTTTATTTTGTTCCTACTGGCTTCACGGACATGAGTATTCTCGAAATAAGTACATCTCAATTAGGATATGGTGCTTTTTAAATTTTTTTTTTTTTTTTTTTAATACTACCATATGTTGACTTATTTTAGCGCTTAATGCTCACTGAAGTTGAAAGAGTCCCCAGTTAAGTGCTTCAGGATGGATCTGTTGTTGTCTTCATCGACATGTGTTCCCAACACACATCAAACGCGTTTGTGCTTTGCCGTGTGAAATATTATGAGGAGGATTTGTCAAGTGCAAGGCAAACGAAAAAGGTCACCAAATATTGCGCAATAAAGTAAACTCGTCTTTCTTCTGTATGGCTGTACAACAAACCAAAAATAAAGATACCGTCATGCGTATGATGTAATTTGCAGAAAATGAAAATGAAGGATATTTTCACTCAGTTTTAGATGTAGTTTCAGTTAGTTTTCTTCTTTATTTTGTTAATAAAAATGTGGGGTTTTTTTTCCAACTTTAGCTTGAGGTCTTTTATAACTTAACTGTAAATAACCTTGCTTCAAGCTCCAATTTGTATCACGAAAAGATTCAGCGAAATGGTCTTCCAACCATGAAAAAAAAAATCTTTGAGTGAATTTAGAAACCTACTCTTGTTTCTGTACTTTGAAATAGTTTTAAAGTTTTCTGTGTTTAATTTTATTCAATGTACGCTCTTTTTGTAATTTTTGTCAGCTACTTTTGTTTCCTCTGATCTGCTTCTGAATGTCGTTAACCGTTGTGTTTCTAAATGCTTGTGGGTGTTGCTTGTGTGAAGCACATTGAGTTAGCTTGTGTATGAAATGTGCCATATAAATAAACATGCCTTGTCTCGCCGAAATGGTTCATTGTGGAGGGTTAAAATAAATATCTCAGGATCGGATGAGTTGATAACAGAACATCAATTCTGTCACAGCCCACTTCCCCCTCTTTGCATCTTCTGTTAAATGAGAGTGAGCAGCACATCAGATCTGCGGTCCTATCTCACTCCATCACTGGCATCTCAGTATCTCTGCTCACAGCCCTCATCGTCAGTGCATGAACTGATCAGTGATAATGAGTCTCTTTGATTCGCTGAGAGAATCTGAGGTGAAAAAAAAAAAAATCACGATAGAATCATAGCTGGCAGTACCAGACTGGTGATTCGCTGAGAGAATCTGAGGTGAAAAAAAAAAACACGATAGAATCATAGCTGGCAGTACCAGACTGCCGATAACATACGACACATCAGAAATCTCTTTTTGCGACTGATACAAGACTTCTTTTCTATGAATTCATTGCCCGTATCTCGCGCTCTTGTTTCTGATTGGCTGTGTTCTTTACTTTGCTAGGGCTTAACGAATGTATGATCAACAATGGCGGCTGCTCTCATGTCTGCATGGACCGACCCATTAGCTTTGAGTGTCATTGCCCCGCCGGCTACCAGCTACTGGACAAGAAGACCTGTGGAGGTATTTTTACCCTGACACTATGGGGACCAACCAAGTGTGTGTTGCTCTAGCATCATGTCATTCTCTATACACTTAGCCCTGCCCCTTCTAACACTGATGCTTTGAGTAGAAGATTAGAGTACCTGTAGTTGACATCTAGGGTGTTTGATATGATGCACCAGATCATCACCCAGTGTCGCTCTGGTCTTTCGGAACCGTATTACTTGACTTAGACTTGAGCCACGCACTCATCTGGTGCTGTTCCTGAGGGCAAATCAGTCATTTTCTGTCTCTACTTGACTGTCCCGCAGTTGATTGATAACCTCTCGTTCCCATCCTCCCCCCGCAGACATTGATGAATGTGAGAACCCGGATGCCTGCAGCCAAATCTGCATCAACTACAAGGGGGATTTTAAGTGCGAATGCTATGAAGGGTACGAGATGGATCCCGTCACAAAGACCTGCAAGGCAGAGGGTGAGTGCTGAATCGTTAATGGAGGAAAACGAGCCGATTGTGCGACATGATAGGATTTACAAGGAGGGCGTTTAGTGATGAGGCTCATTTATAACCCGACACACCGTGTGGTTTCACAAATCCACTTGAGGAATAATGTAAACAAACTGTTGCTAATACGGTATTTCTTTCTAACAAAAATGTCCAGGTTCAGAGATCCTAATACAAGCGTAAACTAGCACTCGTTTTATGAGCAACCCATGTCTTTGGGTGCTTTGGTCAATCAGGAAAATAATGAGAATATGATCTGTATGAGTGGGGTGAGAAATCTGTATTTCGGTTTACAAAACAGAGGATACTTTAAACTGGCAATGTTTGATAAATGATGCGGGGGACAATGAATTTAGGGATGAATAATCTTCATCGCCAACTGTAAATGTTGCAAAACCATTTACCATTGTTTAGTCTCTGCATAATATGCGACGATGGTGAGTCATATTTTATATTTGCGGTGTATCTTATTTTGAAGGCACATTTAACGATCAGAGAGCGTTGCGGCCAGATTCATTGTGTCATGATTCGTGTTTATTATTATGTTTAGAAAATACCGTGCAGGTCATATCATATTATTTTGTTGTATTTATCCGTCACACCTTAAAGGCCGGGCCCTGAAAATATTGTCTGACATTAAACCGGTCCGTGGGGCAAAAAAGGTTGGGGACCGCTGCGATATATCACAGCACTGTGTTCTTATGAGCGTGTCGATTGTGTCTACCTCTATCTACATTTCTGTGTTTGTCTCCGCGCGACTTCCAGTGTGTTTGCTAACACTTTGCTGATGCTAGAGGACAATCAAATATCTCGATGTGTGTCAAGAGCAGCACATGTGCAGTGGCTCCACGCTGTTGCCATGGAAGGGGGACTGCTGTGGTAGTCCTTCAAACCAGCAGGGGATCATTTGCTTGTCGTTGAAACTTTTTAAGAAGTCTCGTTGAACAGCTGCCGCGAGCAGGAGGCTGTCGGAAAGGGAAATATTCTCAAACGTGATATGACGAATCTTTGACACAGACTGTTAGAAGGAAAATAGCAGCAAGTGAGTCATTAAGGACAGAATCTGAAGTCTGCCTCTGGAGAAAAGTGCCGTTCGGTTGCCTTCCTATTACTGCACAGTGCTAAAAGCACGGGTCAGTGAGAAGGTTGCATCCAGTTGCTAGAAAACATTCTGTTCAAACCATTTGGCTTTTTACCCCGGCTGGCTGAAACGGAAAAAAATTAACGACTCATTGTAAATACGCCGCAAGATCCTGTTCAATCGAGGGTCTAATTAAAATTCAAGTTGGGCGACCTCATCACAAACAGGGGTTCTAAAAATAGACGAGACTACCCCCGAATTACGACAAGGACACACTTGGGTGAAGACAATTGTTGCTAATGGCCATGTGTGCTAATGACATAACAAAGCTTCTGCATACACAGCCTCAATTTTATGCAGTGACCATAACTCAATGTATCAAGGTATAAAAATAAAACGAGTTGGAATTTTTCAAAAGTATTGTGCTTTTTATGGGCCACAAAACTCCAGTAGAGCAGTAAGACTCTGGATTTGGAAGGATCCCAGTTTGAATAGATATCATTGTTATTGAAAACAAGCTCAGTACAGAAACAAGAAATTGTGAAAAAAAGGGAGATACTGTATAACTGTCCCTCTGAAACCAAAACAAAAAGATCAGTTCCAGCTCCAGTACGGTTTTATTCCTCATATTGTCCTTTCAGCAAACCGATCATTTCTCATATAACCCAGGGGTGCCCAAGTCCAGTCCTCGAGAGCCCCTTTCTTGCCCGTTTTAGATGTCTCACTTCTCCAACGCACTTGACTCAAATGATCAAGACCATTACCAGGCTTCCGAAAAGCTTGCTGATGAAGAATGAAAAGAGCCTCTTAGACTGGCCGTGATTGAAGTCAGCTGTGACCACTCCCACGGTGGCACAGCCCTCCCTCTCTCAGAGCTGCCGGTCTGCGCTTTTCTGGTCTAAATTGTCTAAATTAACCATGAAAATATAGCCCTGCATGTTTACTGACCCAGAGATGTAGAAAAATGGGCAATAAAAATGTTTTTGTTAATTTAATTATGATAGAATGACTACAAACAATAATATTTCACTCAGTAGAGAACATACCTCTGCCATAGTTTTGTTCGTTTTAATTCTGGGTAACTTCCTCGATCATGGAAGATGACAAACAAATGGGCAATTCTATTAATGCCACAGATCCAGACCATGTCCCAATCATACTTTGACCTTTATAATAAGAATTTTCACCACGGAACTCATTAGCATTTTTTAATCCACTGAAGATATAATACTTCTTCTGATTAACAAAAAAAAACCTAGCCCTTTTTGTCATTCGAATTAGCATTTCAAAAGTAGAACGTTCAAAATGTTTCTTCCTGTGCGCTCAGGAAAAAGCCCTTATCTTCTGTTCACGAACCGACATGAGATCCGGCGTATCGACCTGGTCAAGCGGGACTACAGCCAGGTGGTTTCAACCCAGAAGAACACCGTGGCTCTAGACCTCGATGTGGCTAATAACCGAGTCTTCTGGTGTGACCGCTTTCATCGGAAAATCTACAGGTATGACGATCACGCGGAGTGTTGATTCAGTGAGGTGTTCGCATAGGGATGGATGTTCAATACCACTTTTTTTTTCAGATCGACACCAGTGCGAGTATTCACTCTTTGAGGACGTACCGATACCGAGTGTTGATAACTTTCGTCCTTTTGATATATAAAATTTCATTTGATGATTCGCCGATGTGTCAGACTCCCCCAGTATAGCGCCGACTACTGCTGAGGAGGATTTTGTGACCGCTTTCATCGGAAAATCTACAGGTATGACGATCACGCGGAGTGTTGATTCAGTGAGGTGTTCGCATAGGGATGGATGTTCAATACCACTTTTTTTTCAGATCGACATCAGTGCGAGTATTCACTCTTTGAGGACGCACCGATACCGAGTATTGATAACTCTCGTCCTTTTGATACATAAAATTTCATTTGATGATTCGCCGATGTGTCAGACTCCCACAGTATAGCGCCAACTACTGCTGAGGAGGCGTCGTTTTGCTATGTCGCTGGCTGGTATCGACAGCCTCCACGAGTACACCATACTTTAAAATAAGGCTGGTATCGGCCCGATACCGATTCGTGGTGTTGGTACTCGCCCATCCCAAGTGTTAGCGTTTCATCTTCAAACTCACTTTCTGACATTTAATTGGTCAAATCTTGGCTGTGGTCTCCTAGATCTGATCCCTGGTTGCTCTCGCAAATTCATTTCCTCCCCGTAGTGAATTCTAATTGGAACAGCATGTTCTTTTTATATATCAAATAGAGATCTCTGGGGACAATAAAAGGGAAATTGCTGCTTAGCCAAGTGTGCGCGGCCCTCACCTCACACCTCTGTCATGATGATATTATTTGCGACAGGGACCGGCCCTGAGCGAGGCCTTGTCTATTCTGATAAGTGGTCCATCCGAGAAGGACTCTAACCCCTTCGTGAACCTGCTCAGTGCTTAGCTCAAGGCTTCCGTATCACTTTAACACAAGGCAAAATAGGGCTCACCATATATAAACCATTTACTATTCATTTAACCTGGAATAAATTCATTTGCTTTGATCGAAGTCTGACAGTGCTTGAAGGTCTCCGATGTAACTCAATGACCAAAATGGAATGTGCTTGAAGGTCTCCGATGTAACTCAATGACCAAACCAGTGGAACCAAAATGGAAGAAACCCTCCTGTGTGATACAGTGTACTACATTTCCGACCGCAATTACCTTGAAGAAGTAACTTATCGTTATTTTACTGATTACTTGATTCTTAAAGTAACTAAGTTAGATTTTGAGTTGCTTTATTCGTTACTATCAGCAGATGCCTACAACCACACTTAAGGTAAAATGACATCCAATACTTCTATATGTTCAAGTGTGATGTTTAAGGGTAAGGTTTTCGTTAAAATATATAAGAAATTAAATGACGACAGTCTTTCTAACTTTTATACATAGTGAGAGAGAGAAAATGAGTCTCTGAACTTCACTTAACGTGAATACAATTTCATCTTTTTTATAACCTGACATTTAACGGTTAGCATTGTAATGGTAAAACAACATTTCTGCTTTCTGAAGTCACAAAAAAAAAAAAAAAAAAAAATCAGGGACCTTCTGCATTAGTTGCAGCTCAATTTGATATTTTCATCTTTACGAAAATACGGGTTCTACGATTGTTCATTTTGCTAACGTTTTGTCACAGAGTAACTGAATAGTAACTCTAATCAGACCACTATTTCAGATTTAGTAACACGTTACAGTTACTTGAAATAGCAGCCACGATTGAGTAACGCATTCATGACATAATTCCCACAAAAGAAATCTTGCTGAATGAATACCTCTCTTAATCAGCATTATTACACTCTTACGGACACTCATTCAATTGCATTTGACATGCCGAATGGCAAATCCACTCCTGCAGCGCCTTCATCCACGAGGCCGGTGACCCAGCCCAGCAGGTCCAACTGGTGGATTCGTCACTGCAAACCCCAGCCGGCCTTGCCCTGGACTGGCTGCAACACAATCTGTACTGGACCGACTCTGGCGACAAATCCATCTCGGTGGCCTCAGTGGACGGAACCAAGAGACGCATCCTCATCAACACTGATCTGAGCGAGCCCAGAGCCATAGCACTGGATCCTCATCATGGGTGAGGTGTAGGACGTGTGCATTCTCAATCTATGATCTATGATGTGCGTACGATGCATCCATGATGTATTTATTTGGTTATTTGCTCTATTTGTCTAGTTATGTTACAACCCACTGACACCTTTGACATTTGAAAAATAACTTCCCAACCGTTGCTCCTTTGTCACTTTTGTCCTGATGTGATTCAGATGGCAGTCAATGAATTTTCATATTTTCATATTTCATTCGTATTCCAAAGGCGTGCCGCTCATACGCAATATTAACGCAAAACGGACAATTGAAACACAAGAGTTCATACTCAGGAAGAATGAAGAGCACACAGAATACTGAATGTGGCGCCAAATGACAGCTCATACCGCAGGAAAACGTGTAGGTGTTGTAAAGTTGACATTTTTATCCGTGGATGTTGCTGCGGTGGATTGATTGATATCAGTTATTCTTCACACAGCTGTACGGAAACCAGAATAGACTGACAAAATACAGACAGCAAAAATAAGACTCATACAGAGGTCATATACAAATTCAAAGGATAAAAAAAAATATAATAATAAAACATGTTCACATCATGTCCAACCACTACATATTCTTTCTTTGTTGCATTCAGTTTCATGTACTGGTCCGACTGGGGCACAAGAGCCAAGATAGAGAAGGCCGGGATGAACGGAGTGGATCGGCAAGTGCTGGTGGCTGATAACATTGAGTGGCCCAACGGCATCACACTCGGTAAAACAGCTGTTTATCGAGCCATGTAGTGCTGCGCTAAGATTGCTACTGACCATTGAAGTAGGATGAAGCTTTGAAAGGCAATTAGGCATTGCGCAGAGCTTATGGATGACATCGATATTACTCGTGATCAACTAATCGAGATAATCTTCATTTCTTTCACACAATCAATGATGGGATTTGTCGGTCAGAGTCCAAGTGTGCCTTGTGGGCAAACGTTCAATTTGTGTACTCAGACGTAGCGAACCGCCGTCTGTACTGGGTGGACTCCAAGCTGCACCACATAGCCAGCGTGGATCTGAACGGAGCTCACCGCAGAACACACATGACATCTGCTGAGACGCTGGGACACCCCTACGCTCTGGCTGTGTTTGAGGTTTGTGTCATTTTATAGATTTCCGGTCTGTAATCTCAACATTAGGTACAGAGTCTCCTGCATGGCTAAGTGTCTACGCTATCATCATCATTCCTTGCTCTTCTGAGAATTGCAGGTGGTAATGGTGAATTTGAAGTACGTATTTTCTGTACTATAAGGCGCTTTGGATCATCAGGTGCACTTACAATAAATGGCCTATTTTAAAACTGTTTTCATATATAGGGCGCACCGCTTTATAAGGCGCACAGAATAGAAGCTCCAATAGTGGCTGCGGTTGCACTATGCATCCACTAGATGGTGCCATGCTCAAGGAATACAATACGATACAATACAATACAGCTTTATTGATATAGAGCCTTCACAACCGCTGCAGCTGTAACAAAGCTATGAGAACTGATCACAAACACGGCATATACATCCCAATGGCATGACAAAACAATAAATGAAAGACAAAAGATATGAAGACAATTGATTCAACAGAAAGGCACACAAACCTTGTGTGCTCACATCCTCAAGGGACTAAATATCCTGAGAAGACTTGCTTGTCTCCTCCTTCCTTCGTTTAGTCAGTAGTTAACTATGCTTGTGGTATCGACCCACTTTTCTCCAGATTGTCACGACGTTTCTCCATTTTCTGTTATCTGTTCTATTATTTTCTTCTCTTTTCCTTCTTACCGCTATTTTTTATTTTTCTTCTTTGTGCTACTGCTATTTTTATTTTTATTCTTCGTGACAGGGGTTCACTTTGCCCTGGGGAGTCAAGTTCAGCATTTGCTTCAATGATATCTGGCGCCATCTAGCGTTGTGAATGGGTATAATGTCTAGACCCCGAATATAAGACGACCCCTACTTTTTCAGTCTTATTTCAATGCAAAAAACACAGTCTTAAATTTGGGCCAATACGGTAGTGTCGGGCCGAGCCCTTTGATGTTACAATTGGTTCCTGCTAATAATCGCCACTAGATGGCATAGGAACACGAAGAGGGAAACAACTCAATGGGGTATATAAAGAGACTGTTAACACCATATATAAGGCGCATGGGATTACAGGGCGCACTGTGAGATTTTGAGTACATTGAATTCTTTTTGGTACGCCTTATAGTGCGGAAAATATGATACTTTTCAACAGGTCGGGCTTGTGTCCTTGTGTGTCAGCTCCCCAACAGCACATGTACTTACTATCAAGTCGACGAGCCCATTACAGCCTAACAGGGAATGCCTGTGTGACAAATTGTGGGTGAAGGACCCTTTATTTGTCCCACCTCCATTGCGAGGGACAATGGAAGTCAAGACTAATTACCCAGGCCAACTCTAAAATGTACCGTTTCTCTTCTCTTGACTCTTCTTTTGCAGGATCGTATCTACTGGACAGACCGGGACAAGGCATCAGTCTTCATGGCCAACAGACTGACTGGTCAAGACATTCACACTCTAGCTGACAACCTCAACGATCCGCACGATATTGTGGTCTTCCACCAGCTGCGCCAGCTGCAAGGTGCGCTTGTGACTTTTTCAGTGTTTGCAAATTGCATTTGCACATGCACACACTCTGACACCCAGATTGGGTGTGAGCTCAACCGCATCTATGAGGCCGCTCTGTGGGAGTGTGTTAACCCGCACAGATAAATAAATAATGAGGTGAGGTTTGGGAGTAGAGCGCACTTATCAAGGCACTAAGCAGCCACCGATGTCGCCGCAAACCTGCTGCCAATCAGATTTCCATCGCAGAATGGTTTAGAATCAATTGCAAATGAAATGATTGCTTGGCAGTTTTTTGTTTGTTTGGGAATTGAACTGGATTGGCAAATTACTTTGCATGTGCGTATTTATATGCTCCAGTCTTCCAGTTTAATGTACAATCACAGAAAAATATTAGGCCACCCTTGTTTCCTCAGTTTTTGTTTGTTTTTAATGCCCTGGTAGGCTACAACGGAAGGTATATTTGTTTGGAAAAATAACGATGAGAAAAAAATAGCTCATGATAGTGTCATTGAAGAGCCACGCTGCATGATTTTCTTGATCGTAACCAAAACCACTGCAATTAAGGTTAAGCATGTCAAATGATGCGGTCAGCTAGATTGTGGCACGCTCACTGCATTCTTCAGGTAACAGAATATATATTTGAACAAATGAATGAAAAATTGAAGAAACAAATAGATCTCATCATTTTTTTTCATGATTGTCTATGCAGGCTATATTCACGTCATGCATTCGGTTTCGGGGCCTTCAGTGGGGATTTATCCAACTTAATCCGGTTCTTAGTACTGTACCACTGCATTGCAATTATAGAGAAATCAATACAACGCAAAAAAAAAAAAAAAAAAACATAACCGCAAAGAGCTGTACCATGTACAGCATCTGTAGTAGTTCACAATCAATATTTATTGTCAAAAACAATGAAAACAAATGAATGAAAAATTGAAGAAACAAATAGATCTCATTATTTTTTTTCATGATTGTCTATGCAGGCTATATTCACGTCATGCATTCGGTTTCGGGGCCTTCAGTGGGGATTTATCCAACTTAATCCGGTTCTTAGTACTGTACCACTCCATTGCAATTACAGAGAAATCAATACCACGCAAAAAAAAAAACAAAACAAAAAAAAGCAATATAACAGCATAGAGCTGTACCATGTACAGCATCTGCAGTAGATCGCAATCAATATTTATTGTCAAAAACAATGAAAACATAAATAAAATATATCCTGCTTACCAGAAATGATCATTATTAAATTACAGAATGGTAAAAAGCGGACGCTGGCCCTGCTAGGAAATCAGCCCATTGCTAATTTAGTTTAAATTTCATTGTCCAGCCCTATTGATTCTGAAGGCACAGGGCACATTGGATTGACATGGGTCATATCTGATTGACAGGGATCATATCTGATTGAAAAAAAAATTTAAAACTAACTATATCCGCATACAGGTGTACTGGAAGCTCTGCAGCCAGGAAATGCTACAAAATGAGAATAGACAGTTGGGTCTAAATGAATAGAATTTCATGGAAGCCATATTAGAATTCCAATGTATATCCTCATGTATTCCTAAATTCAATATGTGATCATTTTAAATTGCAACATTGTCCCTTTCCCGGACTCTCATCTTCTCGTCTGTCACTATCCGCAGGTCCAGATAGCTGCAATCTAGGCAGTGAGGCCAATGGAGGCTGCGAGTATTTATGTCTTAAGGCGCCACAGATTACCGAGCACTCTCCTAAATACACCTGCGCCTGCCCCGATGGACAGGACCTTGGCCGCGATATGAGGGCCTGTGTGCCAGGTGAGACTTATGGAATGCAGGAAATGGAAACTAATGAGGCCTTAAAGGGATTTGTGGAGCACATCACAACTATATTATGTCACAAAGCCAGGCGTGTGCACTCACTTCAATGCATTCGCTGCACCTGCACAATCTAAACAGATCCACTTATAAGAGCCATGTCACAAATTTTGCATTTACAAAGAGAGCAGGTCGCGCAATGAAAATAGATTTACATTTTTTCGGGGGGTAAGTTAAGTTACAATGCAATACAATCGATTAATAATATCCAACCTGGATCACTGCCCTGATGTTCAGTTTGAGAATCTTAAAAGTAAAATGTCCCCCCCCACCACCCACTTTGCGTTCAGCGCCGAGAAATGACATGCCAGCCTCTCACGCACTTCCACCCGCTACCACGGCAACAGAAGACTATCTGCCAACTTCAGAGGGAGTAGCACAGGAAGACGCTAGCCCACGTTTGACCACATCACATCTTCCTTCCCTGGAGCCGCGCACGCCCCTCAGCACGCTCAAGACGGTGTCATCGCAGGAGTCCAAGGCGCTTGGATCTCACTCGACTGCAACCGTCACTGTGGAGTCGACCACCCCTGCAGGGGACAGCAGTGTGTCACAACACTGTAAGCGAACTTGGAACTTATTTATTCATTCTTGCTTATTTTTGGGATGTATTGTATAACATTAATTGCGATAAAAAATGTAATTGAATGATACATTCATTCTATCAATACCCTTGATACACCCCCCCCCAATAATTATGAAGATGTTTTGTACAGTAGCTTCTAATATATTCTGTTTTAAAAAAAAAGAGGGAAAAATGTATTTAAAGTGCATTTATTGGGGGGAAAAAAAAAAAAAAAAGGGAAAAATGTATTTATAAAAATGCATTTATTGGGGGGAAAAAAAATCCCATCGTATCCTGTTCTCAAGCTATTTTCAGCGCTTTACATTGCTAATGTAGCGCATGTAAATAACAGACAAAGGGAAGGCAGGCCATAAGTATCAGTTTGTGAAAAAGAACGAATTTGATCATGTTTGGACATATACGGGGGCGTCACGGTGTTCGATTGGTGAGCACCTCCGCCTCACAGTGCCGAGGTGCAGGGTTCGATTCCGGCTCCGGCCTTCCCGTGTGGAGTTTGCATGTTCTCCCCGTGCCTGTGTGGGTTTTCTCCGGGTACTGCAGTTTCTTCCCACATTCCCAAAACATGAGTGGCAGGTTAATGTACTCCCACATTCCCAAAACATGCATAGCAGGTTAATGGTACCCTGTAAATCACAGGTGTCAAAGTCAAGGCCCGGGGGCCAGATCCGGCCCCCCACATCATTTTATGTGGCCCGCGGGAACCAATCATATTTGTCAACTTTCATGATTCTTGCTGAAATCTGTTCCAAAATGTCAAATTGTCATGGGTAATAAATAACATTGAGATTTTGCACCCGGCCCTCCAAGGGAAGCCCTAACTCCAAAATGGCCCGCGACAAAAAATAAGTTTGACACCCCTGCTCTAAATTGTCCCTATGTGTGAGTGTGAGCGTGGCTGGTTGTTCGTCGCTGTGTGTGCCCTGCGATTGGCTGGTTCAGGGTGTAGCCCGCCTACTGCCCGAAGAAAGCTGGGATAGGCTCCAGCACACCCCGTGGTCCTTGTGAGGACAAGCGGTTAAGATAATGGATGGGTGGATGGATGGACATATATGAGATGAATACTGAATGGATGATTCTGCTTGCCTTTCTTGCCATATAATCAGATCCTTACACAATGTCAGGACTTGCACATCTGCCTTGTGCAAGTGAGTTATATACACGACTGTGTGCGGAAAGAAGAGAAGGCATTGGAGTGGAGCTTAATGGAGCCTAGATGGATGAACTGAAGATGGGAAAGCAAACTCCCAATGGCCACCTGAGGGTTGCACGTTGGGCTTCCAATTCATATTGTAGATTTATTCGACGTCTTTTCCCCCTTTGCGCCTCGTAACCAAGTGCTGCCTGTTTGTTTTATCACCTTTCCCTTCTACCTGCCCTCCCCCTCCTGTCTCCTCCTTATCGCTCATTGTTGCTCACACAATGTTATGCCTTAAATATCTTTCATCCTCCTTATTTACACTGTCTCTCTCTCCCGTCCCGTATCTTTCTAATGGTGCTGTCTCCTTCCAGCTGGAAGTGAACATTTCCTCCTTGGAGAGAATCTGACAGTGGCTGTTTTAGGAGTGGTCATCCCCATTGGTAAGTCACATTAAAACCTCCTCCTCTTCGTTTGTCTGCCGCTGTCTGTCAAAATAGTCCATGCAAAATGATCGACTGTGGCGCCAAAAGAGAAGCTTGGCCCAAAAGTGCTCTTCTGTGACATTTCTCAGGAGTCACAGTCTGCGTGTCTGACATTGCTGCATTATTCACTCCGCACGATGTTGTGCTGGCTTTTGTCCTGCGCAAACATTTTCATTTGTACTGTGTACTTTCATCCATTTTCTAATGCGTTTACCCTGACAAGGGTCGCGGGCGTGCTGGAGCCAATCCCAGCTGTTTTCACCCTAAACTGGTTGCCGGCCAATTGCAGGGCACACATAGACGAGCAACCATTCGCGCTCACAGTCACACCTGGAGACAATATAGACTATTCAATTAACGTACAGTGCATGTTATTGTAATGTGGGAGGAAAATGGAGTACCCGGAAAAATTCCACGCAGGCACAGAAAGAACATGTAAACTCCACACAGGAAGGCCAGAGTTGATCAGAGCTAACCAGTCGACCACCCTGCCGCTCTTACAGTGTACTTAAGGAAGCATATGACAGATTTACATGTCCACATAGTTCCACTTGTCAGAGAGATATTTATTTTACAAGCAGCTAAATTGACACAGAGCGGCCTGGTGGTCCAGTGGTTAGCGCGTTGACCTCACAGTGCAGAGGTACCGGGTTCAATTCCAGCTCCGGCCTCCCTGTGGGGAGTTTGCATGTTCTCCCCAGGCTTGCGTGGGTTTTCTCCGGGTACTCCGGTTTCCTCCCACATTCCAAAAACATGCATGGCAGGCTGATTGAACACTCCAGATTGTCCCTAAGTGTGTGTTTGAGCATGGATAGCAACCGGTTCAGGGTGTCCCCCGCCTACCGCCCGAAGACGGCTGGGATAGGCTCCAGCACCCCCCACGACCCTTGTGAGGATCAAGCGGATCGGAAAATGGATGGATGGATAAAAATTATACATATGTTACTCTCAGCTTTGGACTAATGACAAGAAGTAAGAACATGATCTGTACTCGTATCCTGCAGTCAAATAGCCCTCATGGATCAATTAGCCACACTAGCCCATTAGCATTGGCAAAAGTTGCTCGTAGCACTTATGTGCGCATTTGTTAGATAGTTCCATATTGTCACCTAACATAACGATTGTCTCTCCTTGGTAAGTTAAACAATTACGTTAAATTATGTCGGCTTTTCGTGTACATCACTGTCATTTTTCTACGGCCACTCGATGGTTTCATTATGCTGTCTTGCCAGTTTTTGGCCAGCATACGCGCATACACAACACACACAATGTGCTTCACGTAATTCCAAATATGAACCAACCTTGACATATCACACCTTGGCTGAGCCACCCACACAAACACTCGATCGCATTCATGTCGCTCTGTTTCCCCGCATGCCACTCGCGCTCCTCCCCCGTGTGTCATTTCACGCCATGGGCTCGTTATGCCTCATTAACGCTCCCCCTCCTCCCCCTGCGGCTGTGTGTTAAATGCATGCAGTTCCTATCGTTGCCACAGTGGTGTTCGGCTTGGTCTGCGCCGGCATCTACCTGGTGTGGCGGAACTGGAGGCGCAACTCCACCAAGAGCATGAACTTTGACAACCCCGTCTACCGCAAGACCACCGGCGAGGGTGAGGAGGACGAGATCCACATCGGTCGGACTGACGCAATTGGGCATCACGCGCACCACCACCACCACCACCACCCGTACCCGCAGGGTGTCGGCATGGGGGTGGTGACCTCGGGAGGTGGCGCCTGCCCGCAGTTCATCACCTTACCACTCGGAGGCAGCATGCCCGATCCGGGGACACATTGGTATACGGAGCAGCCCATGCTTTCTACTGCGTGAGCCAGAATGAGTGAATTCAGGGGAAAAAAGATGGCTGCCGTGACACACGGGGAGGTCAAAAGTGACTAGGGAAGTACATATCATCAAATGCCATCCACAGCCATGTTCTATGCCACTTTTCCTAATCCTACAGATTTCAACCGCCACAAAGGTTCTCGTTGCTGCAACCGGATCCATTTTTCTCTGATGACGTCACGTTTTGCATTGATGGAGTGTGTGTTGTGCGTCATCTATTTTGTAACTAAGCCACTGACTATTTTGTCCTAGATGTGTTTATTTGGGATCGGCGTTGGGCTGAGAACCGACAGTAATTGTGGCTCTGCGTTGGAAGGGACAATCTGTACAGATTCATAATAGAATCAATGGCTCTGTCAAAATGAGCTGTGTTGCCGAAGCTTCCCTGGTTTGATTTGAAAAAGTTTCTCAGCATTCCAGACATGACTGAGTTGTTTGTTCTCTCCGAATGCCATTCCACACCGATCAACTGAGAGACTTTACTTTTTGTTTGACCTTCGACACTCTATAAAGCGAAAGGATCTTAGCTTTTCATAGTCTGCATAAAAGGGGAAAAGGTACATCAGGGGCAGAAATAACCACTGAGTGGGTTTCCTTATTTTTCACTGTGATGTTTCAACGTTAGAAAGTTTGAGAGGCGCAATATATCATTCCTTTAAGTCAGGAGAGAATATTGCAATCTTATGTGTTTTTGCCTGCTATTTACATATATAGACACTATAAAAGAGGATAGATGCAGTGTAGCAGTGATGGGCAACTTAAATGGTGGAGGGGACCACAATTTTTCATCAGCGCGATTGGGTGGCCGCACACTTCCCAACCGTACGTATGACGGAAAAAAATTCAATCCGTGCATACGTGACAAATATGTGATCTGAATATATTTAATTTTTCAAAGAAATATTTCCTATTGTACAACAAAGGGTTTGAAGCAAACAACAAATTATCCACCAAATGTGTTATTTTCCAGCTCTCTTGCACAAAAATAACCATTCGAGAAAGGCAAAGAAATTTTTAATATTATTGAGGTACAATGTTTCCAAATCTGTCCCCCCCCCCTCAAAAAAATAGGCCTACTCACATTGTAGTATAGGGCAAATGCAACTGAGCCAAAAGTGCGCCAACTAGCGGTGACTGGTGATATTACAAGTTAAATCTACACACCTGATGAAATGGATGGAAAAAATAGATATAATTTTGTCAACCCAAAATATTCAAACACAAATTCTGACGAACCTAAAATGTGTTAATAAATAATAATAATTCATCAAGGGGTCACTCAGAGTGCTGCCAGCTGCCCATCCCTGCAGCCGAGGATGCAATGTGAAGTAATTGCATCACAATTCAGCCACTCAGTGTTATACACACACACACATACACATTGTGTCTCCTACAAACCTATCTCATGTATTCTTTGTATTATCACTATTGTCATTATGATCATTATATCGGAGTGGGAGGCCCCGGCAGGTGTCACAAACCAATAACGCACATTTCCCCGTCTCCCCAATATCGACACTGTGTTCACATTACGCTGTAAACATTCTGGTTGTGTTTGTGTGAGCGTGTATTCACCGAAATGCATGTGAGTGCTGTTGTACATCCCGCGGCCATATTGGAGTCGTTTTTTTGAAAGGCTCTCTGTTGCACAGCCCTCTTTTGAATGCCTTCCGTCTCGCATGAACGTTTGTGAAGCCGTGCACAGTTGTGTGGATGAATGGCTGCCTAATTTGTGCGCGGATGACAGCGTCCAGGGCGCTTTTGGCACTCATTGATATGTAAATATGTTTTCATAAGGTTTTTGATAATGTATAGCCGACGGTGATTTCAAAGAGATGATGTACATAAGATTTTAGATAAAAGTGTCGACACGTATCCTAATTTATTTGTACAGAGAGCACTGCATTCCCTGCTTGTAATGATTCACCAAAGTCGTTAGTGTTGTTTCTTGTTGTGCGTTTTTGTTTTTTGTTTTTTTTAAATCAACCAGCCTTATTTTTGTTAGTTCATGTAAAATACTGCGGGCCCTCTGGACGTTTATTTCTCACAATTCACATTATACCACACGGGTCAGTATTGCAATTATTGTAAATCTGTTTTGTTTGTGCCTTTTTTTTTTTTTTTTTGTCGTTTTTATTTTTCTTACTGTTTTCATGAAAACACGGGACAATTGCAAAGACAAAACTTTATTCAAACCGAACTGGTTCCACGTGTTGATTTTCGGTATTACTTTTGAATATCTTGGTACATAAAATGTGGAATTTTCTGAATGTGTTTCGCTTTCTTTCACTGTAAACAGCATACGTTATGGACTGACTACCAGTAGCGACAATAACACGACTCATATACAGACAGCGTTAATTCGTATGCTTTCTAGCCACAACATTAGGTAGACTTGCGCAATCCAATGGAACATGACCAAAAAAAAAAAAAATATTAATGTTGTATGAAGAACACATTTGGGTATTCGCTGTATTTCAAGTAGTTTGTCATGCTGTTAACTTCAAACTCAAAAAGTAATTTGGAGAGAAGTGGCCACTCAAACACGTCCTACTGAGTGGGTCGATCGGCAAGCCAATCGCAGTCGTGTGCTCTCCTCCAGTTTGTTGGATGTCACGTTTCTGATTGTGGGTCACACTTGAACCAGATGACATCAAATCCCTTTTTCCGTGTGTAGTTTGGAACGCCATATGGATGCGTGCGATACTTACAATGGCTCATTTAAATTTGTTGCTCCACCTGGCATAAAATAGAGAGAGCAGAGCTTGTCCAGCATCGGGAACTGGTTTATTGCAGACCTTTTTTTAATTTCAACGTTTTACGATTGTCAAATTTTGAACTGCTATTTCTGAATTAATATTTGAGATTTTACTTTATTTGTTATTGTTTTTTTTAAAGACATGCGCTATCTGCTGCTCAGGTTTCTCCGTACAGCAAGAAGGCCGATGATAAATGCGTTCACTTGAAATTCGGACATCTTGGGTGCCGCATTGATGGGAATGTTTGGATACGTCAAGTTTGTGTGCCTTCCGCTCCAAGCATATCCGTCAGAATGACACACGCAGGGAATGCCTTCACGGATGTCTGCAACAACGTTTACTTTTTAAGTTGTGTATTTCATTAGAGCTTTATTTAAAAATAAGTCAGCAATTGAAAAATTATGATTGCACATATCATTTAAAAACACACACACACACACACACACACACACACAGATACGCTTGTGTGGCGGACATGAAGAAAAAAAAAAACATACCTGTGCAAAGAACTTTGCAACAACAACAAAAATAATAGTCATTTCATCCCTATCGTAATAAAACACTCATGTAACACACTGATCATGTGCAGTCTTTTAAGAAGATATAGTTGACCAAATGCTCAAAACTTTCTCGCGAAACAAGGTCAACTCGCAGTGCGTCGTCTCGGTGACACAAAGTCTCTCCGGCATCACGACTGAGCTCGAGCCTTCGCGTGGGCTTGCAGAAGAGCGGCCGTGTCACTGTGCGAGCAGAGCATGGCGATGGAGAGCGCAGTACGACCACTCTAAAAAGAAGGAAAGACAGGAAATGTCGATCATATTTCAAATCTGAGCAGAATCGGTGCGACGCGCTTCTTCCTGAACCAGTCGTGTACTGAACTGGGCCCTCGATTTCATTTACTGTTTTGGCCCGAATATAAGGCGGTGTTTTTTGCATTGAAATAAGATTGAAATGCAAATAAGATTGAAAAAGTTGGGGTCGTCTTATATTCGGGGTCTAGACATGATACCCATTCACGACGCTAGATGTCGCCAGATATCATTGAGGCGAATGCTGAACTTGACTCCCCAGGCCAAAGTGAACCCCTGCCACGAAGAATAAAAATAAAAATAGCGGTAGCATGAAGAAGAAAAATAAAAAATAGCGGTAAGAAGGAAAAGAGAAGAAAATAATAGAAGAGATAACAGAAAATGGATAAACGTAGAGACAATCTGGAGAAAAGTGGGTCGAAGATCGGCCAGGGTAACCGGCAGCTGAGGAGAAGTTATGTTGTAATTTACATTTCAAAAACCAGAAGCCATTCATTTTCGAATGTCATTGCACTTTAGATTTGAATGAGGCAAAATAATGTTTTTTCTCTCAAATATATTATAATAATCTGTTTCAGATGTACTGTAATTATTTTCTGTATAAAAATTAATTTGGTGTTCAAAAAGTCTTTTTTCAAACTTGAGTCTTGAAAAAGAGGGGGTCGTCTTATAATCAGGGCCATCTTATATTCGGGCCAATACGGTACTGTATGTGCTTGCTTATATGTGGGGGTAACTGTTTGGAAAAGGAGCTTTTCTGTTCCAGCATGACTCTGTCCAAGTGGACAAAGCAAAACAATGTTAACATCCCGGAAAGCTAGCAAGTACACAGCCGTTCCGATTTACAAGGAGACCCTTTGGAAGAACTTTCTCACGTACAGTCTTAGGAAAACCGTACTTGGCGAGTTGATGACACCGCGCTCTGCATTATTCATCTAGAGAAGGTTTCGGCCCATGAACCAGGTCATTTTTTGCAAGAGAGATTGTAAATCTCCTTGAGTTTTTGCCCCGGTTAAATAAAGGTCAACAACAGCACGGATATATAAAAACTGGATGTCATCCGAAGTGGATGTGCTTGTAAATGTAGTCGTCCGTTCATTCATCCAACACCTGTTGGGAACGTTGCCGTTCAGTGCCTTGTTCGAGGAATGTGAGTTGTGCAAAAACTACTGAAACGATGACAAATTGTACATTTAAAGTATAGAGAAGGTCGAATTAATCCTTTCAGGGACAGCGGTTACTACAGTGGGCAGTTTATCATGTTATCCGATTACAGGTTTAGGTTCTTACTGAAATTTCACCCCAAAAAAACGATTATTAATGTACCCCTAAATTCCTTTGTATACGTTTGTAAAGTGGAGAGTGAGCAAGTAGAATTCACGTGAATGATAGCGATCTACTTACCGATTCCGATTTAACCTTCGTTCTTCGTTCGTTTTTTTGCGATGCTAGCTGCTATCAAAAGACCCTTAACTCGAACTCATTATTACGAAAGGCACAGGAGGCAGCGAGCCGATTGTTTTGCTGTATCACCTGATCAGTCAGGGTCAGATCGCACTGGGTCCTCTCCAGCAGCAGCCTCACGATGTGCGTGTAGCCCCTCTCGGATGCAAACATGAGAGCCGTGGTTCCCTGAGCGTCCCGGATGTTGGCGTCTGCGCCACAGCTCAACAGCAGGCGGACCATCACCACTCGCCCGTGTCTCACGGCCAAGTGCAAAGCCGTCTGGCCTGTCTGTGTGACAAGATGTGTTGAGTTTGGAAAATATTTCTCCAAATCGTGCCTCATTAGATGTATTTTACAACACATCACACAAGATTTCTTTGATTTTATTATTGTCACGGTTCAGTAGACCTGTTCAGGGTTTATTTTGGCTCCCACAACCCTTAAGTGGTGCTTATGTACATCACGGGGCTAATAAAAATGTCCTCGAGCTTCTTCCCACATTCAACAAACTTGCAAATTAGCATCCTTGAAGACTGTAAATCAGTGGTTCTT